CTCCTAACATCTGCTTAAACTCTGAAACGTTATTTACCATTCAATTACCTTTTCTTTTCTCAATAGGAGTAGATAGGTTCACCTATCGCCCGGTTCATACTCCACCTCGGTCTTTTAAACAGAAGTAGAGGTTTATTCCTTGTTTAGGATTGGGTTTCCGATTCCTTCTAAAGTCTACTTAAACTCTCTCCTCCTAACATCCCCGCCTAAACTCGAAAATTTTATTTACTATTTATTTTTCCTAAATAGGTGTAGATAGGTTCGCCTATCGTCCGGTTTACACCCCCACCTCGGTCTTTTGAACAGGAGTAGAGGTTTATCCCTTATTTCTTGTTTACGATTGGCTTTCCGGTTTCTCCTATTTCAAGTCTCTGCTTCTAACATCTCCGCCTAAACTCTAAAAATTTATTTACTATTTATTGATTTATCTTTCCCCAATAGGAGTAGATAGGTTCGCCTATCGTCCGGTTCACACTTCTCTTCGCTCTTTTGAACAGGAGTAGAGGTTTATCCCTTGTTTCCTGTTTAGGATTGGGTTTTCGGTTTCTTCTAAAGTCTTTTTCATTCTCTTTCACTCCCGGTCACCCTTTGCGTCTTAGTGGCATTATCGCCTTGCTTGGGGCGAATTAAATGTAGAAAGACAGAAAACAAAAGGACCTTATTTTATATAAATGACCTGATGCACATAGCTAGGTAAAATGTTGTAAGTTTACATTGGCAGTGAAAAGATGACTTTGTGCGTCCCTGTGTTGTATAAGACTTTAATGTTCGATCCTCACTGTGTGCCCTATACGTTCGTCTTTTTGCCACATCTAAGTTAGTCTTAGAAAATCACCCAAGTTATTGTTCTGATGCGTTTGTCGCTTTGGTACCTCGACGCCATGAAAGAAAGAAAGAAAGAAAGAAAGAATGTAAGAAAGAAAGAAAGAAAGAAAGAAAGAAAGAAAGAAAGAAAGAAGCAAACAAAGAGAAAACTGGAAATAAGGAAGAAAGAAAGGATTGTCAAGCAGGTCTCATCATTTTACTGTTGAAAGAGATGCAACCATAAGTTCTATTCCTTTCTCGTACTTCTCACCTGTGGAACTCTTTTATGGTGTCTTTCTTCTCTACGACCTACAATCTTCAAAAAGCTAAATCCAGCGCCAATCGCATAGTACTAAATCGGCAGCTAGGTCATATAATTATTATACCGTTGAAATAGATAAATACAACCGTAATTTCTATTCTTATAGTTTCTTCTCTCACATTTATTGTCTGGAGAACTATCTTCCAATTACTTGCTTTCCTGTTAACTACATCCTTCAAACTTTTAATCTCACACCAAACGCCATTTTCTGTTTTTATGAACTCTCTTCTTTTATTGTCCTTTCTTCTCGCTAATATTTTCTCATTTTCTTCCACTCTCAGTAACTCCTTGCGTCTTAGTGGCATTATTGCCTTCCTTGGGTTGAAATGGTTAAAAAATGACACGTGTTCTCAGAGTAATGTTTTGGTTTTGTAGCTTCTTTCAGTGTTGGTTTGTTTGGTTTGGTTTGTTTTATGGCATACCAACCCCAATGGGTTATTTAATGCCGACAAGATTTTTCAAAAAATGTATTGTTGGTAATAATTTTTCCAAAAAAATATTGCTGGTATTAAAACCCTTTTTTATACTTTCATAGTGTTTTGTTTTTTTCAAATATGTATTGCTGGTAATATTTAAAAAAAAAAAATGTATTGTTTGGTTTGGCTTATTTAAGGATTTTTAAAATAGGTTCGTATGAATAGAATATATATTCTTTGTAAGAAATCAGTTTGTACGAGATTTGGTTTAGTTTATTTTGTTTTACGACATATCGACATCTCAATGGGTTATTTAAAGCCGACAAGATTTTTATTGCTGATAACATTTTTTTTTAAAGTTCGAGGTCAGATTGGCGATGATGGAACGTAACTAGCTTGGTCTTATTTTGGTATCTTCAAAATACAGTTTGTACAACAGTACTCCATTTTGGGCCAGATCAAGCTCTCGTAAAGGTAGAGGATAACAGAAGTAGTCAGGTACTGAGTGCCGACCATTTAATCTGTATCCTTAGAAACGGATTGTATGTACGAGTTCTACTTCAGGTCGGGTGTCAGTTTGAGACACAACAGTCTTTCAAGGCACGGTGCTACCCCGAGAGGTCCTCTGTTTATCTTAATTTATGGTAGTTTGGGATCAGATCGGCGGTAATGGAACGTAACTAGCGGTGTCTTATTTTGGTATCTCCAGTTTGTAGATTGCATTGTGTATATTTGTTTTACTGTTGGGATTGCTAGATGCAACCGTAAGTTCTATTCTAATACTTTCTTCTATCTTACTTCTCATCTGTGGCAATCACTTCCGGTTTCTTGCTTCCCTGCCAATTACGAACCTCAAAAATTTTAATCCAACCTCAATCGTTATATTCTGACTTTTTGAAACCGGATCTTTTCTTGTCCTTTCCCCAGAATAACGTTTCCAAAGTTTCTTTAACTTAGTAACCTCTTGCGCCTTAGTGACTTTTTTGCCTTGCGTGGAGTGAAATGATTAAACAAGTATGTAAGAAAGAAAGAAAGAAAGAAAGAAAGAAAGAAAGAAAGAAAGAAAGAAAGAAAGAAGCAAACAAAGAGAAAACTGGAAATAAGGAAGAAAGAAAGGATTGGCAAGTAGGTCTCATCATGTTACTGTTGAAAGAGATGTAACCATAAGTTCTATTCCTTTCTCGTACTTCTCACCTGTGGAACCCTTTTATGGTGTCTTTCTTCTCTACGACCTACAATCTTCAAAAAGCTAAATGCAACGCCAATCTCAATCTTCTGACTTCTTGGAAACTGCTCTTTCTCCTTTGTCCTCACTAGAGTTTTCTCATACTCTTTCACTCCCAGTAACCCCTTGCGTCTTAGTGGCATTATCGCCATCTTCTGTCTTTCTGAAACCTGTTCTTTTATTGTCATTTCTCCTCACTAAAGTCTTCTCGTTCTCTTTAACTCCCAGTAACACTTTACGTCTTAGTGGCACCATCGCCTTCTATCTTCTTGATTTTTCTGTTGTTTTATTCTCCTTTGTCCTCACTAGAGTTTTCTCATACTCTTTCACTCCCAGTAACCACTTGCGTCTTAGTGGCATTATCGCCATCTTCTGTCTTTCTGAATCCTGTTCTTTTATTGTCCTTTCTTTTCACTAAAGTCTTCTCATTCTCTTCTACTCCCAGTAACCCTTTGCGTCTTAGTGATTTTATCGCCTTGCTTGGAGTGAAATAATAAAAAGTAGAAAAACAAAAAGAAATAGAAGGTATTTTATGTAAATGACCTGATTTTGTGTGTTTGTTTTGTTTGTTTAACGGCACATTGACTTCTTATGGGCCATTTAATGCCGAAATTAAATTTTATTAGGAGCATTATTAATATCTTTTACAAAAATATACTGCTGGTAATTTTTTTACAATGAAAATGATACTCCACAATAAAAATGTATTTCTACATTTTCACGGCGTTTTGACCTCAGTTTGCGTGTTAATTATTTACCCATAGCTGGGACCCTAACAGGTACTACCCCTTCGAGTTAGGGTGGATCTGGAAACAACAGCAATTAAGAGATGCTCCTCAAACCACCCAATCTCCCGATCAGTGGCCTTGATGCCGGATGTAGTTTATCGTCATACCCAGGACGCATACATATGACCCGATGCAAATAACTACGTAAAATGTTGGAAGTTTACATCAGGAGTGAAAAGATGTGCGCACGTGTTGTATAAGACTTCAATGGGGAAATATAAAAAATACAGCCGAATTTCCACAGGTTTCTGCCAGTATTAATAATTCCATTTGGTGCAGAATCCTCCCCACCTACAAATTTGTTATTCGCATTTGCTTCGAAAGTGTTACACTGCTATTGATACGGATAACGCACTTATTTTTTTTCTTCAGTCGACACTTCTCAGCGGAGAACGGGAGCTTCCGGATAGAGCCTAACTCATTCCTTTTTCCATAATGAGCCTGTCTGAAAGTGACAACTGCATTATCGATTAGGCCACGACGGTCGACCGGCTGTAGAAGCTCAAATATAACCGTAACGAATTTATTATTCTCCCCGAATGCGAAACTCTCTGACGTCTTTGAAATTCCTTACAGAAACTGAATGCAAAAGGAAAAAATATGAATTCATATCTCCCCTCCAACCCAGCTATGGGTAAATAGCGGCACAGACTGGGCCCTGTAGCCTTAGTCGGCAAACAAATTAGGAGAAGGAAAAAAAATGAAATTCAAACTAGCCTAGCAAGAGTCACCACGACTGCTACGATTGCAGTATTCTATCACAACATCAGTTTTATAAGCAGCCTTGTAAAATATTTCGATACTGAATGGCAAGACTTGTTAATTTAAATAAAAATAAAATTGGTACTTGACAGCATTTATCACGATTCTCCAACCTTTTATGGTCGTCGGAGTACCAAATATTCTATATCTGTAACCCATGCCTCAGTCTAGTTTGAATTCAGAGTTTTCCTTCTCCTAGACTAGTTGCTTACCAAGGCTATAGGGAGCAGTCTGTCCTGCTGGGGAGAGAATACATGGATTCTTACATTTCCCAAGGATATTTACACGTAAGTAAATGTAACGAACTCGACTGGAATTCGAACTCGGCTTTCCGATTTCTCATTCCGAGCCACTATCCACTACACCATCCTCGCATTCACCTTGATAGCATTGGCGTTTCTCGTAATCAGAAAATGGAAGTGAAGATTAATGGGAGTCTGTGTTGATTGATTGATTCGTTTTTTACGGTTTATCAACCCTTTGCAGGCTATTTAATAAGCTTATATCAGTTCTTGAGCAAAACCAAAAGTATGTGGGAAAAGTTTATTGTACACACACACAAAAACCCAACATTTCCCTGATACAAGGTCCAAGTGCCACTCCATGTAGAGTTACTATGTGATGTATGAGCACAAGAAAAAGTAAGAAGCTCATGAGGTTATGTTGGAAAGATAACATCCAAGCTTACAGCATCTGGAATTTTTCAAGCGGTCACCCATCAAGGTACTGACGAGGCTCATCGTTGCTTAACTTGGGGGTTCAGACGAGAACCGATGTTTCAACGTGATATGGGCGTAAGCCAAGATCACCTGCACATTCAAGCTTACAGTACCGGGTATTTCCAAGCGGTCACCCATCAAGGTACTGACCGGGCTCGTCGTTGCTTAACTTGGGGGTTCAGACTAGAACCGATTTTTTAACGTGATATGGGCGTAAGCCACCTGTCTGTGTGTGTTTGTGTGTAAGGAGAGGTATTTAGCTTCACGCCCATTCAAGCGGAATGGGACAGAAACTCGAGTTTAAAGGGAGGCGTGGATAGACTATTGCATAAGTCCATTCTTCACTTTCCTTATTAAGGAGCCCTCAAGCGCAAGGTTATGGCCTGACCCACCTGCCAAAGGAAAGTTATTACCCAGAGAGGCATTATATTAAATTTACTTACTGTGAATGTGAGGAGGTTTCTGTTTTTTATATTCTTATTCTTCATTCAACTTTTAAAAATGACAAAAGCATCTCCTCTCTCACCCTCTCCTCTTCTCTCTGTTCTTCCTTCTCTCTCTTCTTCTTTCTCTCTCTTCTTTATCTCCATCTCCCCCCTCTCTCTCTTTCTCTTGTCTTTTCTCAAAAGCTACTGATCAACCACATCCTGCCTTTTATTTCTTTATAGCTCTAGCTATTGTGACGTATTTCACATGGACAAGTCCATTTTTAATTATAGGTAATAATGGCAGATTGCTCGTATTCCGGTATGCCTGTCTGCTCGGGTTGCTCGCTAATCCCTGTTGCAGGCGCCTGCTCAGGTACATTTGCGTTACTTCAACATCAACACAACTCTGTGGTTTGTACTGCAACTAGGCTGAGCAGACCTTAGTTACAGCTTCTGAGAGAGATCGCGCATATTCTCGGCCATGATGACTTGCAGCTTAATGCTAGCACAACATCGATGGCTTCGTCTACCCAAGTTCACCCATAAGGCTCAGATCAAAACATGATATGGTTTTTCAGCCAATTCTGAAAGGTGTGGCAACCAGGTATCATCTCCTTAGGCAGTGTGGCACCTTGCATTATTAGAAATATTCATAGAAATATGATTTAATTTTTTTTTACTCGGTTTACTAAACAGGTTGTTGATTTTTTTTAAAACGGAAAATAATTGAGTTGAAAATAATTCACTAAGATTGTACTTGGACGATCCTAAGGGAAGAAGAAAAAAGAAAGAAAGAGAGTTGGATGATGCATGACCCAGTCAATGGTGGAGGTAGGAGTCAGAAAGATATCTTAGCCAGCATGTTGACCGAATTTTTTAAAGACAATTGGAAGAATAGAATTAGAAATAAAAAAAAAGAAAAGAGAGAGTTGGATGATGCATGACCCAGTCATAAGCGAAGTATAAGTGTCAGAAAGATATCTTGACCTGCGTGTGGCCGAATTTTAAAGGACAATGGGAAATTGTTATTTGAAATGAAAAATCATTAAGAGGGAGAAAAGAACCAGGCTTGATGACAGTGTTTTGGCAATTGATAAGAAAATCGGTCAAAGCATCTAGCCTACTTTTGCGCAGAAAGACACCTTATCAAATTGGAGAAAGGGAAATTCTTTTAGAACAATAGAAATGAAATTTTTTTTTTAATCAGAGAAAAGTGTCTTTTTTGGGTTGAGGGAGTGACCGGTGGAACGGTATACAGATTCTGACCTGTTAAAAATTAGAACCCCACATTGACGAGTGAAAGATGTTTTCAATTCAGATAAATTAAGATTTTCTGACTGCCGGGTCTGACAAAAACAAGAGAAAAAAAAAAAAAAAAACGATTGTCTCAGATCACAGATGGCGACAATATTCTTTCCTGAAGTCACAACTAATTAGCGGCAGGCTGTGTTGACAAAACCCAGGTGAAAAAAAGCCAAGATTATCATTTTCGTACGTGCGAAAAAGGCCAACTTAGATTTTGTTTTTTAAAAACAAGAACGATGTAACCACGCCCGAACGGAGGAGAAAGGATGCTCGATCAATAACAATTGGTCGGAAACGGTCACGTGATCTGCAGAAAAGAAGAGAAAGAAATGCCCGATCAGGAACCATTGGTCGAAAAACGGTCACCTGACATACGAGAGACTAAGAGAGATGGGTGCACCTCCCCACAAAAGGCACTGTGAGGAAGTAGGGGTGAAAACAATAGCGATAATGAAATCAAAAATAATGCGACTTTTGGAATTATCGAGAAAACCCCTGACGCCGACAGACCCACCCCAGTTTGTTGCGGCGTCAATAAAAGCAGGACCCCAGTCGACAGAAATCAGTTGGAGTTGAGAGTTGCAGCTGGACCGCGGGCAGGGGATAGAGCCTGAACGCGGCCATCAGGCCCGATTCACTCGCCCCTTTGCGGGCAAAAAGAATCCTCAGACAAGAAATCCTCCCAGCCCAAGTCGAAGACAGAAGAGTTCAGCCCCGGACGGCGGCGAGAAGAGATCACCTCGGACGACAGAGAGTTGCGGCTGAGTTGCGGCAAGAAATCCTTCCAGCCCAAGTCGAAGACAAGAGAACTTCCAGCCCAAGCAGACGAAGAAGAAGATTACTCGAAAGCCGCAGAGAAGTTGCAGCCAAGTCGAATACAAGAGAAGTTCCAGCCCAAGTCGAAGACAAGAGAACTTCCAGCCTAAGTCGACGAAGAAGAAGAAATACAACTCAAGTCGAAGAGAAGAATCAACTGCGAATGATCGATAGAAATTAGCCCCAGTGTCGAACCAAACCACACTCCGACATACACAATTCTAAAGAGTAGGCAATTCGAAATCTTTAGGTTGTATGATAGAGGCTTGGTGCCATAGTCCACAAAGCGGGTCGGGAAATAAGAACAATTTTTCTTTATGTAACGGACATTAGATATAAAAAGGTTGTCACCTTTTTTTATCAGTAATTTTTTTCTCGTGAGTTTTTTTTTTTTCTTTTACTTGTGTTTTGCCACCCCGTCGGACTCAACTTGTATCGGCCCCAATCCTGCTGGTCCCGTCTGTTCAAGATCTAAACACAACGTGGGTAGACAGACCGGAGATCAGTACAGTTGCTTCAGTAACCAGGTATTGGAAGCGGGTTGGGAAAGGCGAGGCTGGTGATCATCCAACCAAGGGGTTGGAGCGGCACGCTTGGAACCAGGAGGAGCGACCAGGAGGAGCGACGTTACAGTTAACGCCGTAACCAAAGGGATTCGACCCTGGGCCAGGTGTGTAACCGTCACATGTGGTGCCGTGACCAGGATCAACCCTGAGACAACCATGTCACAAGTGGTGCAGTGACCGAGGGATTTCAGCCCTGAGAAGACCACGATCGACCGCCGTTGCTGAAAATTCAGACAGAACTCAGAACGACCCGGGACCAAAGGAAAAGAAAGAACAGAATCGTCTGTAAGGTAGGACACCTTGTTTTGTTTCCCAACCTCGATTGTTGCTGTATAGACTGTCTTTCTCTGTAGACATGTCAGATTATGATTCGGATAGAGCAGTGGGGGTGAAGAAGAAGTAGAGCGGGGTTGTCAGTGGATCTAAGGAAGCTGTTGGGTGGACCGAGGGTCCCAGTATTTGATGGCAGCAGGAAGGAGTTTAAAACTGGCTGGCAATCCTCGAGAAGAACCGAACCATCTACGAGCTCTCGGACCAAGAAACCCTGTATTTGGCATACGATGCCACAAAGGGAAAAAGCGTCTGAGTTCGTGAGGGGGCTCTTGGAGAACCAACCCCGCTTGGCTTGGGAAGAAATAAAAGACTACTGACCAAAGAATTCGCCGACGAAGGTACAGCCATAGAGGCCATGAGGGCCCTTTTAAAACTAACACAGCTGCGGGATGAAACCCTTGGGAGAATTAGGGGGCCCGAGCGGGGAAGCTATCGTCATTGGCATTCCCAGAAGTGGTCAGGGATAATGCGGTTATGCAGGCTCAACTGGCGGACCTGTATGTAGAGGCGCCGAGCGACGAGCGTGTTCGTCACGACGTATTGAAAGAAGGACCGCTCAGACTGTCGGCAGCGATAGAGCTGGCCGGGGAGAGCCAGGGGTGTGGGATAAAAAGTGAAGAGGTGTGGAAAGAAGCAGATACCAAGTCAGGAGGCTGGAAGAAGGGGGGTAGGCGGAAGAACCCCCGTGTGGAATCAGAGGGTTAAGGAAGAGGTGGATCAGGCAGAATTATGGGAGGAGGACCCCAATAGAAGGGCATGGTCGACCAGGCATGGCTTTTATAAGCCCACGCCGGGTCGATACAGGCTGGTCTGCTGGACCTGTGGGTACGAGGACCACAGGGCGGCGGAATGTCCGACGAAGTGGGGTTGCCCCAGACTTCAATCAGGACAGATGCACCAGGTGTGGTAAGAAAGGACACCTGGCCAAGTGGTGCGGGCTGAGGAAGGGTGCCCCACCGATATTAACAAAGAAGGCTGAGCCAAGAGACCGGCCCAGGGGGGAAAAGCCAGCGGGCCACCCCAGAATTAAGAGGGAGGGTGGCCCAGTTAAAGGAGAGAAATAAAAAACTTGGACCAGTGGGTGGGCGAACCGCTTGAATAGAGGACGGGTTCCCCGAGGATAGACACAAGGCCAATCCAGTTAAAAAGGGAAAGAGCAAAATGTTGGACATGTGGTCAGGCGGGCCACTTTGCGGCAAGCTGTCCAACAAGAAGGTGCTGTTTTGCAGGAGGCCAGGACACCTGAAAAGAAACTGTATTTTTAGAAACGGCCATGGGAGACCGGGAGAGGTCCGGCCGGGGTCGCCCAGGTGCAGGGGGCGCAGAACTCCACCTCATGAGAAAAATGAAGGTGATATATTACTATGGCTGGGTTAACCCAAGGGTGGGGACCCAGGAAGAGGAAAGCTCAGGTGTTCTCTTCGCTAACGCAAGAGAAAGAACTATCCTGTAGAGCAGAGATAGGTGGTAGAGAGATGAGGGCTTTGGTGGACACAGGAGCATCTGTGTCATTGATGAGAGAGGAAACATACAGGCGGGGTGAAACGGAAGAGAAGGTTACAGGGGAAGCGGACATAGAGATCACACAAGCAGATGGGGCCCCCCTGGAGATAAAAGGGATGGTGAGGCTCCCGGTGAGGATTGGGAGGGTGAAAAGCACCCAAAATTTTTACGTAACCCCCGACCTGTGTACAGAGGCAATCTTGGGAGAAGATTGGCTCCGGAGCCAGAAGGCCCAGATCGAGTTTAATCCTACTGTGTTGGTGGTG